CAGTCCGACAAGGGAAAGTGTACAAGTGCAAAATCCTCCAAGATGACACTGTTGAATGATAAAGCTGTTTTTGTCATCGGCGATGAAATCCGTGTACATATCGACACTTACGATTACCATGGAAACAAGAGACATATCGGAGGAGATTTCTTTCGACTTTGGATGGAGAACACAGATTTGGGAGCTGCCGTTGCTGGTCACGTGATCGACCATAACGACGGAAGCTATACTGGTGTGATCCGTGCATTGTGGGAAGGCACGGCTTCAATTCGTTGCTTCGTTGAAAGAAGAAAAGAAGAAATTGCAATGTTTTATGACATTATGGAGAAGAAGCATGCATTGTGGGTGCCAAAGAGGTCGTAAAAGGCGACTAACGGGATCGGGTGGTCAGGCTCGCTGACTTGGTTGATGCATGTCATCGATCCCAATTGCGTGGATCGATGCTCATGATTATTAATCACTGGGTTGTCTGGTCCAGACTCGATTATTTACAGACCGCCGTCATATAGCTGGAATATTGCTGAGTGCAGCGTTAAATAACAAACCAACAACCAACCGAAAATTAACACGGCAACCAGGGTACCAACGGTAAGGTACTGAGTGAATCACTATTTTCAAAAGTTTTAGTCAGAGATCTCGCGAGATCCGAATTGTACACAACTTCATTCGTACAACTTAGTGCATACAACGTAGTTATACCATGTAAATGTCCCTTTACTCTGGCAAGGAAACAACCCCTGAAAAAATATAGCCCCGTTAACAGTTTACAAGCTATCTTCTGTTAATTTCTCAGCAAATTAAATGCTTTAAAAGTGGCACCACTGTCAATCCTTTAATTTCACACCATTACGAAACAACTTTCACCAACCTATTTTCTCTCGCCTCTTTGATGTGTAAAGTTGAAGATTGAACTAACACGATCTATCGATCTGGACAATCTACTTAGCTAACTGCCCCGGAAAACTTTTTCTAACATTTTCCTTTCAACGTCAGATCATGATTTTTGTTTCGGAAATTGGTTGTGATTAATGACAACTTTGAAACACCAGAAACACCAGAAGTGATTACAGCACTCCGTTAAGCCTTCATACAACAAATATAATCCACCTGTGCCAGACCATTGTCGGAAGACTCAAATTATCTTACATACACTCTGAGGTGATAGATCGGTTGTACTCTGACTTCAGACTATCGATTACACCAGTAAGTGAATGAGTGGCCGAGTTTCGATAACCCTGTTTGAACAGTTTGCGATATATCACGTGTGAGTGAACGAGTGAGTGAGTCAGTCGAGTTTAACGCCGCTTTGAACAGCATATGCATTCTAGTTATATCAAGGCGTGATCAGCTTGATATGTAGAAAAGCAAAGCAGGTCTTAGACGTTTACCACATTGGTGCATCCACGAACACATGTATGGTGCTGACCAACCTGGATACATATTCGGGACAAACCGGGATTCGAACCCACCATCATAGGTTTCTGGTTTCCCAAAGGACTCAACTCTGCTCAGGTAATAACGGCGCCTTAGACGAAATCGAAAGCGAAGTGATGCAGGTATTAGATGTTTATAGTTACCACCCTGGTACAATTAACGAGCACGGTGCTGATGAACCTAAAAACGTTATTTATAGGGCGTCTCTGGGAGTCTGAACCATGATCATTCGTTACTGGCAGGCAAAACAAACGCGTTTCCTCACAGTGAACAGTGACACATGAGACTCAATGGCCACTTGTGTCCCCGTCGCTAAAAGAAAACAGCTATTTCACAAGAGTCCCGTCTTGACATTTATCTTCTACATGTTTGTTCAGTTATCGACCTCAATGGAAATAACGCCTCTGGTAAACAAACGTAGGAGACCTAGTCTCTTGTCAATGGGTACGTGCAGGACTACAAAATCATATTCCCATTTGACTTTAGATAAATCACGAAAATCAATTTCAATTGGGTAAAGGGTTAGGGCTTCAACACTGCTTTACACTGAACAGAATTGTGTCAGCTTAAGGTGAAAGGAAAGATCAGGTCTCACACGTTTACCTCTGAGCATGGGTGGATACTGACTCACGGATGATCATAATTATTGATCCAGGATGTGGACCAACGATCATAGGATCCTGACCCGTCTAATGGACTCAACTCTGCACAGCTAATTGCCGCGCCTTACATGACGTCATACAGTGTCCCCACCGGTCTACATGGGCTCACCTTTTTTTAGTCGTGAGACAACAATTGGATACAAAGGGATGCAGGATAAGAACAGAAAACATAATAAACGCGTGGAACTTGTTGCATATCCAGATCTCTACCCCTCCAGTCAACAAGAGTAAAGAAACAAATTAATGTTTATATTTGGGATAACAATTCTTGAATTGTTTGTTTATTTGTTGTCTAACGCCGCACTCACCAATATTCCAGCCATATGACGGCGGTCTGTAAATAATCGAGTCTGGACCAGACAATCTAGTGATTGACATCATGAGCATCGATCCATGCAATTGGATCGATGACATGCATGAACCAAGTCAGCGAGCCTGACCACCCGATCCCGTTAGTCGCCTTTTACGACAAGCATGGGTTGCTGATGACCTTCTTACCCGGATGTTCACGAGTTGCCTGTGTTAATGCATTACTCCTCACTGTCGGTGTGCCTTGTACATACTTTATCATATACATAATTAGTCATTTGAACACATTCCATTGGGAGTAAAATGCAAAATAGCGAAATCGATTATTTACAGACAACAGCCATAGAGCTGGACAATTGCTGAGTGCGGCGTTAAACAACAAACAAACAATCATTAACACAGGCACAAAGATGACGTTTCCCCTTGGTGGGAGTATCGGGTGCTACCTGTGGAGCAGGGCATCCTTTCTCTCTTCGCGAACACCGGTGTCACCATTTAAATGATTCATATAATTGCCACCATTATCAACAGCTAAAAGACGTAACACTGGAATTGTTGGTGTCAGCACGGTTATGCAATTAAAATTGTAACATGTTGACACTCGCTTTATAAAATATGTGACAAACCCAATCTCGGTATAAATATTATACTTTATTCATATCATCTTTGGAATCAATAAACATTTTATAAGGGATAAGATTGATGTATTTACAATTTGATGAATTGCATTTTATGAAGTTATTGACCTTGTGAATACTGTCATTTTGTGGTGAGGGGGATGGGTGCACGACGTGCATGTAGTGGGCTTCCCCGTCTTTGTGATTTATACAAATCATGTTGACGCATTAATAACATGACATATTTTGAACGACAATAGTAAATATTGACGTGACATTTGGCGAACAAACGTAAATTGTTTCCCGAATTATTTCCGTTCACTTTTTCAAGTGCATTTCCCCCACACCATCCCCACTCTTTCCTCATGTATGCACACTGCCCTCTGAAACATGCCCTATCCTCTCATGTCCATGACCATTGTCGTAGATACGTGGTCACCAAAGACAAATGGATATATGTATGCGGAAAATCATTGTTACTTTATCACTTATAAGAATGTCTAAATCCTATTTTACATATTTTACGAGCCTGCTTTCAAACCCTATTCATCTGACTTCCAGTATGTAAAACATATGAAACGGGATGTCAATAATAACTGTTTGGTAATGATGTCTAAAATATTAGAATTCAGTATATAGAGGATATATCATGTGTCGAATGAAATATCATGTTTCTCTCATTTCCTTTTCCCCGTCACGAGATGTGTAGAAACTTGATATATCATTTGACACATGAAATATCGTATTTATTATATACCTTTTGTGTAGTAGTCTACCGGAAAATTTAATTATTTCATTACAAACGGAAAACCTTTCGAACGTAAATTCTTCCTGCCTAACACACTTTGACGGTTCACCACCCCTTGTAATTGCGACTAAAAAAGTAGTTTCGTGTTTGCAAAATCATAAAAATATAAACAGATATAACACAAAATAATTTTTTAATTTGAAGTTTACACGATATACGGCTTTTCCATTGGAGGAGAGGTCGGTCACATGATCGTGTAATTGACGTTCATAAGTGTATGAACGACACAATTTGACGTTCATACGTTTTTTTCACGAGACCGTGTTCTTGAAATGACGTAAACACTGACGGACTACTTCCACATTCCTGGGGAAACCCCTGGGAATTCCTAGCACTTAAGCGTTCTTTCTGATTATTTAGAACCTTTAGTGTTGGTCTCAGTGTTTCAGTATACATTGAGAAACGTCAGAGAGCGTGACTGCATGATTGTTCACGAATATCCTCGCTACAGCCTATCCTAATGAACAAACGATCTAAACTATCGTAGTATCGACTCGATCCGTATCTAGGCTGACACTGACCCTCTCCAGCAATCTATGAATTTACCTTAGTGTCTGTTTGACGCATCTTTATTCACCTTTCAATGATCGGCCAGTTGATCAATGATGACTAAACCATGTAACCGCCACAGGTTCATTAGCCACTTTGACGTCTTGTTCTTGATGTAAATGTATTACGACGCGCTGTGATTGTGACTGACTTACTGAGGTAGTTCTTTACAGAACTTTCTCATCTAATGAGGATATGATTTGAAAACATGTGCTGCGTAAGATGTTTCTGAAGAGCAAGTTGTGCATCCATACGCTCATGTCACCTCTCTTTTTGAGGAACTATTTTACCCCGCGATATAGCTGGTTGTTGTATGGCTGTCAGTGTAAACATGAAGTCACCCGTACTAAATAAAATTGTGTTTAGATCTTGGCCGACATCCTTTGAGGTAAGAAATTGTGATAATTGTTTTTATTAGAATTGACTTACACTTTGTGTGAGTTCATTGGAGTATGAACCTTCTCAAGCTCCGACGTTCATACCGTTTGGCCCTCACTCTATGAAGGTACATACTCCAATGAACTCACACAAAGTGAAATTCAATTCTTAAATATATAGGGACACGAAAGTTCTGTATCATACATAAATACAAAATACAATCTTGAAACTACAAGACCGCTGTTGGAAGCGAAAGAATAAACGCTTGTCAAGTAACAAAAATGGCGCTTTGTAATCGAACAGTCTCTAGTTGAATGAGAAATTTACAGTTTATAACGAAAATGTTCGAGAGAATACCAAACGGCATGAGGCGATATTAACTCCATAAATGACCATCTGTCATTATTTTGCCTTTTCAATGTGTAACTAACGTAAAAAGGACGTCAACGGTTTTAGTACAGGCAAAACAATTACGATAAAGGGAGACAATTTAAGAGGAGGTAACTCTTGAATGACCATAGTTCCGTCATAGTGTTATGTTCACTGCAGTGAAATATCAAGTGTTATGGTTACTGCTATCTTTCACACTGAAGTATATAATAAATTAATTTCTATGACATAACAACGACATCATGTAATGCACCATTGATTGAACAACGGTCATGCTTGGGTGAACATGTCCCGGTCCGACTGCAACCGTCAAATCCCAAAAGTCAAGGTAGATAACTCTGTCAACGAAGGGAGAAAACTCTTCTCTGAGTATATCTGAATAAATTAATCCCCAGTAAGACACGAGTTCCTGGGCCATACTTCTGTAATACGCATGGGGACCACGGACAGCGAGGGTCACATTTGGAGCACGTAACAAAAGCTTCTTCACTGACCGGACTGTCTTACGAATATGTTCACGATATACATCAGGATGAACCAAATTAAAATGGACGTGTATGTACAGAACGACAATATCCTCCGTGTTATTTGAAAGACTGTCGAGAAGAAGATGTTGCGGTCTATTTACTGTAGGTGCATATCGCTCACTTCCGTGAAAAAACGGGAATTCGTGTGCATACCAAGACACGGAAAAGTTATCCTCCTTGTCCGTCAGAAGCTGAGGGTTGTGGCCAGTGCTGACATCAGGAATACCGAGCGTGTAGTGGAGACTCCTCTTGAACTGCTGACTCGTCGAGTCTCCAGGCAGCCATAGTCGCTTGTTCTTCAAGCATCTGCGGTACGTCTTTGGAGTCAAGGACAAATTGTCAAGACACAAAGTTGGCTGAAAGGCATCACCAAAAAAGACACCAACGGGAGACACCATCTTCCACGTCATTTCCGGCGGAAGTCTGTTGCACGGGATTGTCGGTCTGGATACTTGCAAGTCCTTTGACGTATTTTCTGAAGCAAGTGTTTATCATGCGCTAATTTGTATTGGTCAAATGGATCAAAGCATTATACTTACTGGTCTAATAAATTTAATAACAATCTTCGTCGAACCATATTGAAACTAACATGAAATTTGATCTCATGGAGGGATAAGGCATATGACGTTAAGTATTATAATTGCATTAATGTATTTATTGCTTTCATTGTAATTATCATCATTATTATATGTAGATATGTTCAAAACGGCTTATCTGGAGACTGAACTATTTTGAATCAAAGAGCATAATACATTGTCATATGTTGAAATTGCGCGTAAATACAAATTATAGCACAATAAATAATTTGTAAACTTATTCCATTGCATTTGAGTGGCTAACCAAGCAATGTGTCTTGCGATTAAGTTTCCACTAACACACTACTGTTTCCTAATTGGCTACGAGTAGAATGGGCGTATCTTCCCGAGGCAAGGGAGTTAGCTGACTATAAAAGTCCAGTTTCCATCCTTGCCGATCTAGCCTTGCATGTTGGAGTTATATATAATTGGCTTGACTAACGGGTCTATGCATAGTCCAATCAAAATCGCGTAACAGTTAGACATCCGTGAACTGCCGTGCAGATTTTGGTCGATTGCAGGATTTGCAAAGCATGTGTACCGACAACTCGGCGTCAAGAGGTATTTTTCAAACCTTTTCATGTTCGTAATCAAGGTGCTCACGTGATTTGATGCACTTCGCGAAGTAAGACCCCTTTTATCACAGTATACATCTTGATTATTGATCGGATCATCTTGACTGGGCGCCGCCAATTTGTTTGATGCAAATGTAAGCGAAATGAGAGGTAGAATCTGATTGGTCATTTGGATGGACACAGAAGGGACATTACTCGTAAGAACCACTGGTGGCGCTACGATCGAGCCAAGAAATTCCAGCCTTGTTCGAATTCGGCAAGGGTGGAAACTGGTATAGTCAGTTAACTCCCTTGCCTCGGGAGGATGAATGGGCGGGGCTTGTGTTGCATTATTATGCAGAGCGATGGGACAGGTTTCGTACTTTTAACAACAGTCTTCAGTGTGTTAATCATTAAATAAGCAGCTTGTGAAGTTCCTATTCTTTGCGTATTTGTTTATAAGAATTGACTTTAATCTGTATTGGCGTTTTTCAAAACGCAAAAAAACGTATAATAATAGAAGGCACAAAACATAAAAGTCAGTTCTTGAATATGTTGGCATTGAAACTATATGCAGTACACGTCAATATTCAGAGAATAACAAACTAATTTTGTAACTAACGATGACGTGAAAGTGCATGCTTTTTGTTTGGTTGGTTGGTTGTTTTAAGCAAATATGATATGACAATTCCACACACGGTATGATAGGATAATTCAATCTCAATCTTACGAAAGGTCGGAATACTTACTATAAATCATTGTGATATGAATCTGTGTCGGCAGATCATCGTCGTTTCCCTTGGCAGATCTACAACATATAATTATAGCATTACAATTCTAAATTAGTCGAAGGGTTACATCGTTTTGTTAATACATTGTTTGGTTGTCTGTGGTCATCATGGCTAACTGACAGGTCATCCAAGCCTGGTGGAAGTAGTTTTATACATCACCGGTAACCATGTTAAGTTTAGGTTTTGCTTGGTTTGTTGTTTAACGCCGCACTCACCAATATTCGGGGTATATGAAGGCGGTCTGTAAATAATCAAGTCTGGACCAGACAATCCAGTGATTGATATCATGAGCATCGATCCACGCAATTGGGACCGATGACATGCATCAATCACGTAAGCGAGCCTGACCACCCGATCCCGTTAGTCGCCCCTAACGACAAGCATAGTCGCCCTTTTCGGCCAACATGGGTTGCTGAAGACCTATTCTACCCCGGGTCTTCACGGGTCCACTTTGTTAAGGTTCCAGTTCGAATAAACTGCCTGGCAAAAGAAAATACACCTATGTTCGATGGAGGCTACTAATGAAACAAACTAGAAATAGTTCTTCGATGGGAATGTTTTTGATACCATAGTCGTGCTTTGGACCTAACGTTTGCAGTTTCGTTTCGGCAACTGTTTTGATAGCGTTTGTAATTTTTTGGTCAAGTTGCAACTTTCCCGTCTTTTGCCCGTCATTTTTGTTACAATGTCTGAATAGGATGAGCCTGGAGTGCGTTGTTCATGCAGCTCCATACTTGTTACCCTTGCCCAGATTGTTCGTTGTTTAATGCCGCACTTCCAATATTACATTTTTCAGTAAATATTCGAGTCTGGACCAGATAATCAAGTGATTAACATCATGAGCATATATCTACGAAATTGGGATACGGTGACATGCATCAACTAAGTCAGCGAGCCTGACCAGTGATCCTGTGAGGCGCCATGGTTTGCTAAAGACCAATTCTAGCCTGGATCTTCACGGGTCCTTGCTCAGATTGGATTGTTTACAGGTCCAAGATATAGTTGCCCCACTCTGAAACTCATGTTACGTTTACATGTAGTGTCTTCAAAGGCAAGTGACTTTGTTCAATATATGCCTCTGTTTTATCAGCATTGAATGGGTGCCCGGTAGGATGATAGAGAGCTGTATATTCCCCAGGGAGTTGAGAATGAAATTTGAGGGCACACTGATCCATTAGCCACTGATATTAATCAATGTGAGTGGATGGAGTCGACGCTTTACAAATGTCCATTATCAGTATCATACTACTGCAAGTTCAACTACTACTAACATGGGAAGATCCTTCTCCTACTACAACACCTTGAAGATCGGGAGTAGAATAGGTCTTCAGCAACCCTTCCTTGCCGTAAAAGGCGACTATGCTTGTCGTAAGATGCGACTAACGGGATCGGGTTGCAAGACTCACAGACTTGGTTGATGCATGTCACCGCATCCCAATTACGTAGAGCGATGCTCATGATGTCAATCACTGGATTGTCTGGCCCAGACTCGATTATTTACAGACCGCCGTCATAGAGCTGGACTATTGCTGAGTGCGGCGTAAAACAACAAACAATCATTAACACAGCCACAAAGATGAAGATTCCCCTTGGTGGGAGTATCGGGTGCTACCCGTGGAGCGACCCGTGAAGACCCGGGGTAGAATAGGTCTTCAGCAACCCATGCTTGCCGTAAAAGGCGACTATGCTTGTCGTAAAAGGCGACCAACGGGATCGGGTGGTCAGGCTCACAGACTTGGATGATGCATGTCACCGCATCCCAATTACGTAGAGCGATGCTCATGATGTCAATCACTGGATTGTCTGGCCCAGACTCGATTATTTACAGACCGCCGCCATATAGCTGGAATAATAATTGCTGAGTGCGGCGTTAAACATTAAACCAACCAAACAACTATTTGAAAGAAATTGGTCTGTATAATAAATTTTAAATATGTATGTGAATAATTAAATGCTTGTTTTTAAATTTGGTGTGATGCTATTGTCAACTGACATTATTGAAGGCTCTGTCCAGGAGGTTAACGTAGCGTAAAAATATTGTATATACAATATACACAACTTAATAATAATAATATTAATAATAATAATAATAATAATAATAATAATAATGCGTAAAAACAGCATTCACTAACAGATAGTATATGCCTCTCTTGCGAGGGTCTTCTGGAGGGTATCCTTTGTTCTCTGACCAGGAGTTCTTCCAGTCCTGACATTGTAACTCCGGCTGACTTGGCCTGGCGCAGAACCACGGGAAGCCATAGTTCATATCCGTATAATTACAGTACCGTTGGAAGTTGTCAGGTTTAATGGAACACTCCGTACTCTCGACAAAACCATTGGAAACAAACTCCCTCTTTGGCACCCACAATGCATGCTTCTTCTCCATAATGTCATAAAACATTGCAATTTCTTCTTTTCTTCTTTCAACGAAGCAACGAATTGAAGCCGTGCCTTCCCACAATGCACGGATCACACCAGTATAGCTTCCGTCGTTATGGTCGATCACGTGACCAGCAACGGCAGCTCCCAAATCTGTGTTCTCCATCCAAAGTCGAAAGAAATCTCCTCCGATATGTCTCTTGTTTCCATGGTAATCGTAAGTGTCGATATGTACACGGATTTCATCGCCGATGACAAAAACAGCTTTATCATTCAACAGTGTCATCTTGGAGGATTTTGCACTTGTACACTTTCCCTTGTCGGACTGGTTCCATTCACCCATCATTTCGGATTGGGTTAAATAAAGTCTTTCTCCTTGAGGACGGATTGCGTAGTTGACGTGAAGTCGGGAGAAATCGACCTCTTCCATTAGGAACAACCTGAAACGAATAGGGAGATAGTGAGTGTTTGTTTTGTTTCTTTGTTGTTTAACGCCGCACTCAGCAATATTGGGATCGATGACATGTATCAACCAAGTCATCGAGGCTGACCACCCGATCCCGTTAGTCGCCTTTTACGGCAAGCATAGTCACCTTTTACGGCAAGTATGGGTTGCTGAAGACCTATTCTACCCCGGAATCTTCACGGGTCGAGATAGTGAGTGAGTGAGTTTAACGCTGCTTTGAACAGTATTTCAGTTGTATCACGGCTGAGCCACAGATGTAGATTTCAGATTATAATGTGTCTAGTGCACGGTCAAAGCGCTAACATTATTACCCCGGTCCGTGGACCAGTGTGAACTTGTTTATCATTCTCAGCTTCCTGGTGAGTATACCACCCGAGCTGCCTGTGAGGTTAACATTACCAATCATCGAACCGGGTACCCATTTACTGCTGAGAGGCACAGTTCGAACAGAGTCACTTGCCTAAGGAGACACAACATATGGGACAGGACCGAAGCCCTAGAAACTCGCAGGAGCAAAGCTGCCGAACGCGGTCACCTATCCAAATATTCTCGTCCGACGTTGCTTACTTTTCTCCTGTGCACTGTGCACAGGACCACGTGCCGCCACATTTAAAATGTCTTGTTGGACGACCGATACCAAATTGTATGGAGCACGGTTATTAATGATATATCCAAAATTGCCTTAATATATATTACAAATGCACATGCAACGTTGCTTACTTTTCTCCTGTGCACTGTGCACAGGACCACGTGCCGCCACATTTAAAACGTCTTGTTGGACGACCGATACCAAATTGTATGGAGCACGGTTATTAATGATATATCCAAAATTGCCTTAATATATATTACAAATGCACATGCAACGTGTCTCGAAAACATTCGTATGACATGCTCCATAATCTACATAATGTAGATATACGAGACGTGGGTGTGTAACATCCGCAATATGTTATTTTCATAGGGGTCATTTGGATGAGTTTTGGTAATGAAATATGTTTATTTAAAAAAAATCGACTTTGAGCAATTGATGGCTTTATTCCAAAATTGGACGTCTACACCCGTCGATAGTTTAAGATAATTTAAATGCCAATTACATCCAAAATAATACCTACAAAATGTGAACAGAAAGATATAGGCATGACAGAAATACAATTTAATGTAATTTCACACGAAATGGGTTTATTGAAACCATAATGCACCTCTTTGTTTACCTCCGTTCCATCATTTCCTCTTCCAATCTCCCGCCTCTTACGTCATAATTCTATTTCATATTACGTCATCAAACTTTCTTTCTCGTCATCACCATCGTCCGTTACGTTCTGTCCAAACAATTTTCTATTAGCTTTTACAGCAACTGTCTATATTTCGGCTCTACCTTTTGACTTGCGACTGCTACTTCACAAATATTTGTTTGTTTTTTTGTTGTTTAACGCCGCACTCAGCAACACTCCAGCTATATGACGGCGGTCTGTAAATAATCGAGTCTGGACCAGACAATCCAGTCTTTGCTATCATGAGCATCGATCCACGCAATTGGGATCGATGACATGCTTCAACCAAGTCAGCGAGCCTGACCACCCAATCCCGTTAGTCGCCTCTTACGACAAGCATCGTCGCCTTTTACGGCAAGCATGGGTTGCTGAAGACCGATTCTACCCCGGATCTTCACGGGTCCGACTTAGGTACCAAGGCGTTCGCACATATACATTGTAGGTGAGCAGACAACTCAGAAAGGTCAGAAAAAGGGCCAGAAACAAAGCACATTGTTCAGGCAAAACTGGCAAAACTGGATAAAAAAGGAGACAGACATGGTAAGAATGACCGGGCCTTTCATGCGGACTCCGTTCCGGAACATACAGGTGTCACCAATAGGCCTAGTTCCTTAAAAGCAGGGGTTGATTACCCCATCTGCTGAGGCTTCAGACTAATACATCACCTTTCGTACTCCCTGGACAGTCTATTAATTACAACATTTCTCCACAGGTTTGCTCAGTCACATACGCCCGTTTTGATTAAGCTGTGAGAATTGCACAAGAGTAGGGTCCAGGTGCTTTGCCCTCCAAATTTGTTGTTAAATCAGCATTTCACATTATTCCAGTGCACCTAGCAGATTTTTAACTTTGAACTTTTATGTCAATAAATATTGACCATTTGGTTGTTCAATTTCATTTTTGAAACTTTCAGTACCTTTCTGCGGTGGTGTATACAGCAGCATCTTTTAAACCAGGAGATTTTGCACTACTTAGATGATTTCTTAACTGGGGGATGAGCAGGAGGATTGCAGCAATAACCTGCATGTAAGCTTGCAAATGGTTGAATTCTTTGGAATTGACTTTGGTCCGGAGAAGATGGTTCATCGTACTTAATCGCGTTCTTGGGGCTGCAGGGGCGGTCGGGTAGCCTAGTGGTTAAAGCGTTCGCTCGTCACGCGAAAGACCCGGGTTCGATTCCCGACATGGGTACAATGTGTGAAGCCCATTTCTGGTGTCCCCCGCCTTGATATTGCTAAAATATTGCTAAAAGCGGCGTAAAACCAAACTCACTCACTCACACTCACTCTGGGGGCTGCAAATTGATACTGTGGCGCATGCAGATTAGGATACATATAACAACATTGAGGAGGTGAGAGTGAGTAAGTGAGTGAAGGTGTGAGTATGGTTTATCGCCGCTTTTAGCAATATTCCAGCAATATCAAGGCAGGGGATACCAGAAATGGGCTTCACACATTGTATCCATGGGGGAAATCGAACCTGGGCCTTCGGCATGACAAGCGATTGGTTTGGTTGGTTTGTTGTTTAACGCCACACTCAGCAATAGTCCAGCTATATGACGGCGGTATGTAAATAATCTAGTCTGGACCAGACAATCCAGTGATTGATATCATGAGCATCGATCCACGCAATTGGGATCGATGACATGTATCAACCAAGTCAGCGAGCCTGACCACCCGATTCCGCTTGTCGACCCGTGAAGATTCCGGGGTAGAATAGGTCTTCAGCAACCCATGCTTGTCGTAAAACGCGACTATGCTTGTCGTAAAAGGCGACTAACGGGATCGGGTGGTCAGGCTCGCTGACTTGGTTGATGCATGTCATCGATCCCACATTGCGAGGATCGATGTTCATGATGTCAATCACTGAATTGTCTGGTCCAGACTCGATTATTTGCAGACCGCCGTCATATAGCTGGAATATTGCTGAGTGTGGCGTTAAACAAGTTATGATTTAACGTCACATCAGCAGTATTTCAGACATATCGTGACGAGAACTGACACATAATACACAGATTAAAATGGAATAAATACCTGTCAGCGAATGACAGTAAATTACGGCGTATCACGGCGACGATTTTAGGAGGTTGATAGATCAAATGTGCACATTCAAATCTACATACCATCGCATACGTCTCACAAAGGTGTTGAAAGAAGAGCTGTCTATCTTGCTGGAGTTTAACACCTGTTATAATTGAATCTCAATCTTACAGCAAGCCAAGTCGGATGACAATACCACATTGAATCTTTTCACTGATGCAACAGGCAGTGCAGGTTTTAGGGCTAGCGATCATTGGCCACAACAATGGATTGACACACTCATGACAAAGGACTTGACCAATTGTGATAACCAGGCAGTAGTTCACATCATCATCAAGCAGTTCTGTAACTATGGCAACTGGCTTTGCTATGCCTCAGACACAACATACTTTTAAGGATTCTTTCTTGCTGCAGGGTTTCAGAACAGTTCACTCCCAATTGATTAACTTGTCAACTTCATTGCATCTTTGAAGGGATTCTCCATTTATACGTTAAGAACCTATCTCTCTGGTAGTCCTACCATCAGCTAAGGGGCATGTTGGACTGAAACGATCATTTCTTGGTGCGTAAGCTCATATCTGGTATTGGGGCACAGGTAGTCCAGTCGTCTAAGGCGCCGCGATTCGCTGTGCAGAGTTGCGTCCCTTGGGCAGGCCAGAAACCTATCGTTGCGGGTTCGAATCCCGGTTCGCCCCGATTATGTTTCTAGGTTTGTCAGCACCATACCCGTGCTCGTGGGTTTCACCGAAGTGGTAAACGTCTGAGACATGCATCACTTCGGGCTTTCCTCCCACATTAAGCTGACACGCCGCGATATAACTGGAATACTGTTAAAAGCGGCGTTAAACCCAACTCACTCACTCACTCATTCATATCTGGCATGTCTAAAATTGGTCTTCAGCTAACCATGATTTTTCTGAGGCAACTAACGGGATCAGGTGGTCAGGTTCGCTGCTTGGTTGGTGCATGTCAGTCTATACCAATTACGTGGATCGATGCTCATGATATCAATCACTGGATTGTTTGTTCCAGAATCAATTATTTACAGACCAGCGTGATATAGCTGGAAAGTTGCTGAGTGCGGCGTTAAACAACAAACAAACAAACAAAATATATCTAGTATGAGTAACGGCAAGCGCCACAATGAGCCTCGCAAACCAATGACAGCTAATGTGCTCCGAGCCATTATTTCAAGTTTACCATTTATTTGCTCTTGAAACAAAACATTATACAGCCGTGTTCTGCGCTGCTTTCTTTGGGTTTTACAGAGCGGGTGAGCTGGCACAAAGTAAACCGAGACAGTTAGCATTGCCATGAAGGACATTGTATTACAAGCAGGGCGAGGGCAGATAACATTCAGCCAACGGCACCCCAAAGGCGACAGGGTTCAAAACAGGGTTTCCATCACCCTCGCAACTATTCCACATAATCCTAGGTGCCCCGTCACAGTTATCAAGGGTTATTTACATGTCCGTCCAACCGGGGGAACTCAGTGTTTGTTCACTTCGATAACACAGATCAGCAGCAGCCAATGGCATGAGTCAAGATTTAATCCAACAGCTTCGCAGTCCTTTAGATCATATATACCCGTCTACATCAAACGTGTACTTGACTGCATTGTTCATTCATGGCTATTCCTCTGCGCTTGTTTGTGTTGCTTTCAGTGTGGCGGATAGGGTCAATCTATCTGCCCCGTCCCGAACGCTTCCTGGCAGAGAGCGGGTCTGGCTGGCCTTCTGACTACGGGTTTGTTTGTTTGTTTTTTTAACGCCGCACTCAGCAATATTCCAGCTAAATCACGACAGTCAGTAATTAATCGAGTCTGGACCAGACAATGCAGTGATTAATATCATGAGCATCGATCCACGCAATTGGGATCGATGACATGCATCAACCAAGTCAGCGAGCCTGACCACCCGATCCCGTTAGTCGCCTTTTACGACAAGCATAGTCGCCTTTTACGACAAGCATAGTTACCTTTTACGGCAAGCATGGGTTGCTTTATTGATGAATACTTAATTGTGTTAATTGAAAAGCACTTTTCCTGTACAAAATATTTGGAATTTAACTATTTTAAAATTAAATTCTTAGGTTCGTGTTTCGTTTGGAAAAAAGATTTACAAAATCGGTCAGAGTTTGTGTTAGTTTAACCAATATGCCATTGCAAATATTAAGACAAACGATGTTTAATTTAAATAAATTAAATTTAAACAACAATATCCGACAATATGCGTTCGGTGCAGGTTCTAACACCCCTTTTTTAAGAAAGTAAAGAAATATCATTTCTTTTTTTGTTCTAAATTGTGAACATTTAGGTTTCGTTAGTTTGTTTGTTGTTTAACGCCGCACTCGGCAATATTTCAGCTATATGACGGCTGTCTGTAAATAATCGAGTCTTGACCAGACAATCCAGTGATTGACATCATGAGCATCGATCCTCGGAATTGGGATACAATGACTTGCATGAGCCTAGTCAGAGAGCCTGACCACCCGATCCCGTTAGACGCTTCTTACAAGCATTCATATGCATGTAACATATCTATTAATTTATAAACATGCATGTAAGATAATATTCATACATATGCAGGTAAAGTATTGATTATATATTAACCGGAGGCCTACTTACAGTAAACTATCTGGATATTGATCTTCCCAGTCAATAGTTCAAAAGGTCAGAATAAGTACCCGTTAGAATAGGCACTCTACACATACACCGCTGTAACCATGGGAACACTGCATGTTATCTACAGTGGTGTGACGGATGTTTGCTGTTAGATTGAATTACTGACCTACAAGTACGTGAACACGCTCCCTTCAGACTGCCCGTCGCCCTTTACTACAATAGCTGAGCGTCATCTGTTTAGAAACATACGAACCTGTCCAAGAATAATAATATGACATTTGAAAGTTACACCGTTGAGAATACAATTACAGTAGACTACGTTTATAACGAACACGCTTATAACGAACTGACGGATATAGCGAACTTATTTTTAGTCCCGGCCATTTGATGTATTTATGTTGTATATATGCTTATAGCGAACTACGGTTATAACGAACTAAAATTAGTGGTCCCTTTGAGTTCGTTATAACCGTAGTTTACTGTATACTTAGTCAACTACAAAAGAAATGTTTGGTCCGAGACATGCCCTCTCTGCGTTGCAAAACGAAATTATTTCTCAAATATTTTCTTTACTCACAAGCAGTAGAATCTCAAAACTTGTACACAACATACGTCAGTTATCAGAAATTAACAGATATCAGTAAATATGCTGTTGTGTCACTTGATTTTCTGTGTGGTCCATCACTTAATTAGATTGTCTGGTCTGTTAAGGCCGCCGACGCTTTTGCGTGAGGCAACAAGGTGAGGTGAAGTGAAATTCGGTTTAACGTCGCGTCCAGGATTATTGCACTTATATAACGACGTGCATGCACGTGTGTGTGTGTGGCTGCTTGTACTAGTCCGGACTGATATCTAGTGCTAGCTCACTGAAAAACCATGCCGCAGTTTTAACATGAATACCCCACTCAGACACACTGTACTGACTCAGAGCCGACCAGTCCTTGTTTTAGCCCCTGAATGCCGAGCGCCAGACAGGGTAACAACAAGTACCATCTTTTAACGTCTTTTGGTATGACGCGACCGGGGATCAAACCCTCTACCACAAGACCAAGGAGGCGATCGTGAGGCAACAAAGAAACAATAATGTCATAGCTGGAATATTGCAGAGTGCGGCTCTAAACAAGAAACAAACAAACAATTTTAAAGTATCACTTAATGATCGTGATTAGGTTTTAGGTTTTGTGAAGGCTTAAACATCCGTTTGCCGAAAGTTATTATGTTTTTGAGAGAGAAATATTCCCTAACTGAGTTAAAATATATTCTTGAAAATCTTACCCATATTTGTTTGGCCATTTTTTCGCCTGCCAGAAAATAAAAGCTCCGACCAAGAGAAAAAAGGGAACCACAATGGACGTCACCTTTCTTCTTCTCAGCATGGTGGATGTGTAGGTCTGATCGTCTATTGCGACACGAAAGGTCTATTGCGACACGAAAGGCCAATTCGTGTTTCACTGAGCGCTATCAGTGTTTACGAATATGTTCAAATACGCTACCCCATTTGATCGAGTGAGAGCTGCGTGACCTCATTGCGGGCTATAACACGCCACCGAGTTTTGGTTGAAACTGATCATAAAACCAATACATCCCGGGAGGTACCCCGTGTGTTTACATTTCCACCCACACCCAGCCTTGAGTAACCACGTGGTTTAATCCAGCCTTGAGAACCCGTGTTTATCCGGGGTAGAATAGGTCTTCAGCAACCCATGCTTGCCGTAAAAGACGACTTTGCTTGTCGTAAGAGGCGACTAACGGGATCGGGTGGTCAGGCTCGCTGACTTGGTTGAAGCATGTCATCGATCCCCAGTGCATGGATCGATGCTCATGATATCAATTACTTGATTATCTGGTCCAGACTCGATTATTTACAGAACGCCGTCAAATAGCTGGTATATTGCTGAGTGCGGCGTAAAACAACCAACCAACCAACCAGCCTTGAGAGACAAATACTTCCTCAGATTGTACAGAACACTGTGTTGACAAAGTCCTTGCAATCGAGAGAACGCAGTTTAGTGCTGCTGTAATCGAACGCTGTGGGGTTCATATAATGATTGCCAATTCAGCTTTCCATATTTATCTTTGAAGATCAAAAGTCAAACACTAAGACCAGTAATCAATCAATATTTACACAAAGAAAAATATTAAACACACCCTAATATATTTCATTTTTGTTTGGTCTCAATATTTGTAACAGTCATGAAAGATAATTTTAATTACGGGAAGAATTATGTTTTCTCGAGATGTAATCAGTCATGTGTGACGAAAGCTCACGTGCCATGCATGGTATGCCCGTGCAGCATTCTACCCTCAAGTATCTCTAAAAGCAGTATATCCAAACGTTAAAATTGCTTTCTTAAGCTCGGTTTAAACAGTTATTCCATGACATTGTGTCACCATGGCACGAAGGCGATTATCAAACGCCACAACATGGCAAATAATCGGCATGCATAACGCAGGAATGTCTTGTAATGCCATTGTCTGGTCCAGACTCGATTATTTACTACAGACCGCCGTCATATAGCTGGAATATTTCTGAGAGCGGCGTTAAACAACAAACAAAACAAAACATTGTATCCTTGGAGGGTGAAATGAGTGTAGGATGTGTTTGTGTGTGTGCGGCATTGGGATATTAAAAAATACCACCTAATACAAACTGGTACTTTTTATTACATGAGCATGTTTTTCGCGTTAAAGACTTTTCCCCATTCATTGCATAGCATAATATTTTAAGTGCTGTTTCATTTGAAGACATTATGCTCTAAATGGATGGAAATACAAAAAGAAGATGATACTCAGCCTCTACATGGCCCAGATTAAATGCCTTGCATAACCCTTGTTTTACTCTTGTTGTCTTGATACATAACTCCCCGTAAACAACAGTAAGATTGCAACAGCATACCTGTATCACTGCCTTTGTGTAGGGCTCAAAAGAAAAGTGATTCGCAATATAAACAGTGTATAGCTTTAAAAAATGTATCTACAAAAAAAATTCTAATCATAAAGTTGGTTGGTTTGTTGTTTAACGCCGCACTCAGAAATATTCCAGCTATTTGACGGCGGTCTGTAAATAATCGAATATGAACCAGACTATCCAGTCATTGACATCACGAGCATCGATCTACGCAATTGGGATCGATGACATACTTCAACCAAGTCAGCGAGCCTGACCATCCGATCCCGTTAGTCGCCTCTTACGACGAGCATAGTCGCGTTTTACGGCAAGCATGGGTTGCTGAAGACCTATTCTACACCGAATCATCACGGGTCACAAACAAGTTCTGATAATTCAGTACTTTGACTACCTTTTTGTACACGGTGAATCTGCTATTATCAGTTTACACGCATATTTGATACAACATGTAAAAAGTGGACATTAACCATGTATTCTCCTCCAACCACATGCTTTGGGGTTAAAGATGCGACTACTAAAAATGTTTACGTTAATATTTACCATATATGTCTATATCCATATGCTAAATACCACACCTTGTCTTATTTTCATGTCATGTTGAAGGTGGGTGAGTATGTCAATCACTGGATTGTCTGTTCCAGAATCGATGATTTACAGACCACCGTCATATAGCTGGATTATTGCTGAGTTCATCAACAAACATTTTTGAGGAACAATAATATAATGTTGATCCCGTAGGGTGAATATAAACTCATGCCACCTGAACATATTTTTCCACATCAAACAGGGTCTTATTTACGATAAGATACTCACTTTTAGCACTCTCCCCGATAAAGTGACCTTAAATGTTTCGAAAAAATGTTTTCTGATTCATACAATAAATCCACCCGAATAGACGACCGAGTGTTGATAATTTCTCCGCCGATATTCTTATAATTACTAAATCTACCCTTTCTTTTTCTTTCGTTGTTGAATCGATGAGTTTGTTATTGTTTCCTGTGAGTCTTCTAAATTTGTAGCTTAATTTCCCACCTCTCGCATAAGATGTATGGATATATTTTGTTTTTATTGTATACTGAACCGCAAAAGAAACGTCACCATGGAAAGATATATGAGAAACTTTATTTGTCCAAACACTGATGATCAAGGTTGGAATTAAAGTGTCCAATGTTCTTAAAGTGAAACACAACACTAGTCTCTGAGAAAATGGCATCACAAATCAGTATCTCGTGTGTCCGCCATGTGCATTGATGACTGCCGTGCAACGTCGATACATGGAATGGATGAGGTGGTTGATGAAGGCCATAGGCACTTGAGCCCACACTCTGAGGAACGTCGACGCAGTTCAGCTGCAGTTGTCGGCCTTGGTCGGACGTCTTTGAATCTCCTCAGGTGCTCAGTGGGATTTAAATCGGGACTGAGGGCAGGCCACTGCATGGTTCTGATGCCATTCTGTTGGAGGAAGTCTCTTGTTGCTCTCGCAGTGTGGGCACGGGCGTTATCATGCTAAAACTCGTGGTTGCGGCGACGTGCCAAAAGAGGTATGGCGTGTGGTCTCAAGACTTGATCAATGTACCGAGCTGCTGTGACACCATTGCCTCTCCCTGGACCGATGTTCTGGAAGACCACAAGGCCGACCCTCTGTGCAAGACCAATTCCACCCCACGCCATGATGCTCGGACCACCCCACGAGTCTCTCTCAACAACACAAGCATCCGAATAACGTTCCCCACGGCGTCGCCAGACTCTCTCTCTCTCTGTCATCTGCTGTTGAGATACAGTAACGGCTCTCGTCTGAAAAGAGGACTCTTCTCCACTGCTAGTGGCGCCAATGCTGGTGCTGTGTGGCCCAGTCGTTTAAAGCGCCGCGATTCGCTGTGCAGAGTTGCGTCCCTTGGGCACGCCAGAAACCTATGTTTGTGGGTTCGAATCCCGGTTCGCCCCGATTAAGTTTCTAGGTTTTTCAGCACCATACCCGTGCTCGTGGGTTTCACCGAAGAGGTAAACGTCTAAGACCTGCATCACTTCGGGCTTTCCTCCCACATTAAGCTGACACGCCGCGATATAACTAGAATACTGTTAAAAGCGGCGTTAAACCCAACTCACTCACTCACTCACCCAATGTGTGGCTGGGCGCACTCCATACACATAAGTCTAATATGCATCGATTTTATATTGAACATGTTGTGCGTGTGACACTTTTATAAACATTTTACTACTACTACTACTACTACTACTAAAATATCTTTTAGAGGTATTTATGATCTTTAATCCATGCTTCCAGGACAGAAAGAAAATACAGTAAAAATGCTTCACTTTAACGGCGCAGATTTCTTTAAATGCGAAACACCTGGACATTATAAATTGGTGTATAGGTAGATATAACACTAATCTATAGATTTAATCACATTTGAAGATACATCTGTGTGTTTAAAGTTGATTTTGACCGCCCGGGCCAAGTCGGACCCAACACAAGCCAAACACTTCTGATAGCGACTATGTTGAGAATGTAGAGGGAAAAGGGCTTCACTTTGAGCCCCTTGTTTTCTATAAATACTGCAATCTGTGACATTATAAATTGGTGTATAGGTAGATATAACACTAATCTATAGATGTTAATCCATTTGATGATACATCTGTGTGTTTAAAGTTGATTTTGACCGCCCGGGCCAAGTCGGACCGAACACTTCTAACAGGGATTCTTTCAAGAAAATACAGTAAAAGAGCTTGACTTTAACGGCCCAGTTTTCTTTGAATGCGATATACTGTGACATTATAAAGTGGTATATGGGTAGATATAACACTAATCTATAGATGTAAACACATTTGAAGATACATCTGTGTGTTTAAAGTTGATTTTGACCGCCCGGGCCAAGTCGGACCCAACACAAGCCAAACACTTCTGATAGATACTATGTTGAGAATGTAGAGGGAAAAGGGCTTCACTTTGAGCCCCTTGTTTATTATAAATACTGCGATCTGTGACATTATAAATTGGTGTATAGGTAGATATAATACTAATCTATAGATTTAATCACATTTGAAGATACATCTGTGCGTTTAAAGTTGATTTTGACCGCCAGGGCCAAGTCGGACCCAACACAAGCCAAACACTTCTGATAGCGACTATGTTGAGAATGTAGAGGGAAAAGGGCTTCACTTTGAGCCCCTTGTTTTCTATAAATACTGCAATCTGTGACATTATAAATTGGTGTATAGGTAGATATAACACTGGTCTATAGATTTAATCACATTTGAAGATACATCTGTGAGGTTTAAGTTGTTTTTAACAGCCCGGGCCAGGTCGGACAGAACATTTCTGACTTGGATTTTTTAAAGAAAATACAATAAAAATGCTTCACTTTAACGGCGCAGATTTCTTTAAATGCGATACACCTGAACATTATAAAGTGGTGTATATGTAGATATAGCACTAATCTATAGAGGTAATCACATTTGAAGATACATCTGTCTGTTTAAAGTTGATTTTGACAGCCCGGGCCAAGTCGGAGCGAACTGTGTGACTGTTGAGAGTATAGGGAAAAGAGGTCTACTTTAACCAACGTGTCTGCTTTAAATAC